TTATGCAAAGATCATCCAGGGTCCAGGACCATTTTTTATTTTGCCGTATAATATCCCCGAAATGCGTGCTTACCTTTGGAATGGACACTTATGCCTCCTGCGTCCGGGGACAGATGCGCGTGAAGGGACAGGCCAGCAGATAGGCACCGGGGCACAGGTGCCCGTGAAGGGACAGGCCGGTAGATAGGCACCGGGGCACAGGTGCCCGTGAAGGGACAGGCCGGTAGATAGGCACCGGGGCACAGGTGCCCGTGAAGGGACAGGCCGGTAGATAGGCACCGGGGCACAGGTGCCCGTGAAGGGACAGGCCGGTAGATAGGCACGGGGCACAGGTGCCCGTGAAGGGACAGGCCGGTAGATAGGCACCGGGGCACAGGTGCCCGTGAAGGGACAGGCCGGTAGATAGGCACCGGGGCACAGGTGCCCGTGAAGGGACAGGCCGGTAGATAGGTACCGGGGCACAGGTGCCCGTGAAGGGACAGGCCGGTAGATAGGCACCGGGGCACAGGTGCCCGTGAGGGGACAGGCCGGTAGATAGGCACCGGGGCACAGGTGCCCGTGAAGGGACAGGCCGGTAGATAGGCGCCGGGGCACAGGTGCCCGTGAAGGGACAGGCCGGTAGATAGGCACCGGGGCACAGGTGCCCGTGAGGGGACAGGCCGGTAGATAGGCACCGGGGCACAGGTGCCCGTGAGGGGACAGGCCGGTAGATAGGCACCGGGGCACAGGTGCCCGTGAGGGGACAGGCCGGTAGATAGGCGCCGGGGGCAGGTGCCCGTGAGGGGACAGGCCAGCAAATAGGCGCCGGGGGGAGGGGGCAGGTGCAGGTGCCCGTGAGGAGACAGGCCCGTAGACAGGCGCCGGGGGACAGGTGTCCGTGAGAGGACAGGCCGGTAAACAGGTGCCGGGGGACAGGTGCCCGTGAGAGGACAGGCCGGTAGATAGGCGCCGGGGGACAGGTGCCCGTGAGGGGAAAGCCCGGTAGACAGGTGCCGGGGACAGGTGCGCGTGAGGGGATAGGCGCTGCGGGACAGGTGCACGTGAGGGGACAGGCCGGTAGATAGGCGCCGGGGGGCAGGTGCACGTGAGGGGACAGGCCGGTAGATAGGCGCCGGGGGACAGGTGCGCGTGAGGGGATAGGCGCTGGGGGACAGGTGCACGTGAGGGGACAGGCCGGTAGATAGGCGCTGGGGAACAGGTGCACGTGAGAAGACAGGCCGGTAGATAGGCGCCGGGGGACAGGTGCGCGTGGGAACCTCAGGATGCGGTCAGGCTAGTTTCTTCCTTAATGTCGATGCTATGACTCAGCGGCGCGGTGGAAAGCCAAGCAGGAAGTGCTGGCTAGAGGAGGACGAGGAGGAGGACGTTTATGAAATGGGGAGCATGAGGGGAAGGGGCGAGAGCACAGGAAAAGACTTACAAAGCGTAGTGAACGTATCAAAATGTTAGCAGATTGGGATGACAGAAATGAGAGAAGAACGCGGAAAAGAGGAAAAGAGAGTGGATGGGCAGGAGAGTGAAGAAAAAAATGCGAGAGAAGTAGATAAGAATAATTTGCCTGGCAACTGAATTTTGGCAGTTTTCTGTCATTTCGTACATCCAAACAAGCATACGCATGTCGGATGCACCAACAGCAAACGGTGACGCGCATACAAACACCCAGGTGCATGTGAGCAGCTCCGCCCTGTATTGTCACGCATTTGCAGTCCTAGCACCGATATACACAAGCACACACCGCAGAAAACCTGTTCTCTGTCGTCGTAAAACCCGACACACCTTTATCGCGTCCCGTCTGGCCGCTATTGACTCCAGGGCCACCGTGCAAAGCGGCCGGGTCGATTGGTCCCGCGCCAAATAGGGCCTGATCCGGCTCCTCCCGGAGAGTCTCCGTGTGTAGGTGGCGCCACTGATGCACGTGACCGGCAGCCTGACATTGGGTAATGGTCCATGTGACGTCGGGCTGTCAGTGACGTCACACGGGAATCACTCTGTCAGCTGTTCGAGAGGTCAGAGTTGTCGGCGGTGCCAGCTCGGCACAGTTCCGAGGCGCCAAGTCGGGCAATGGCTCATGGGACGTCAGGCGGTCGTTCAAGGTTTATGGATGTCGCAGAATTTCATAGCTGCGGCCTGTTTGCGGCGCTGAATACGGTAGTGAGATATTCGGGAGTATTTTTGGCGGCTGTGCTGATGCCAAAACTTTCACCGTTTGACACCGCTTAAATGGATTTAGGATTCCAGCTGTGATGAACGACACCAGCAAACGGTTGCAGCTGCGCCCGATCACTTCAAAGCTGCCGCGAACGCAGCATGGGAGCGGAAAATCCTTTCAAAGAGTCACGTTGAAACCATGATTAGGTAGATGTGCTCGTAGGCAACGTTCAGCTTTTTACAATCGGGTGGGGTGCGCTCCTTGCACGCTTCTTGCTGATATTGATCCCGCAGCTTGATAGCACCCTCAACTCATTTGCGTGCTGAGGCTCCGAATGGATGCATGTGTGACTTCGGGTTCAGAGTACCTGCTAAGTAAAGCTTATTGCGTGCATCCTTAAGCCACCACCCCAGTCGTGCATCCTAGTCCATCGGATAGTTTCGCCTCCGCCCTTTCGCCAGGCAGACCGGTGGAGGGCTCCACGTGCCTCACGACGCTGCAGCGCGGCGGCCTGAGCCTGGGTTCATTCTCATTGGCCTGTCGCCAGCTGACCTTTATCTGTCAGGCAAAGCAAACAATGCGTCCACTCTGGAACTCATACCCAGTGCATCTGGATAAAAGAGCCGGCATTTCTCTCCCAGGCCGCGGAGCCCGGTCGGGTAGACGATGGTGCTGGCGGTGTGTCAGACGAGCTGGCGTTACGGACCGCATCAGGGAGTTGAGTTTGAAGATTCCTGAGCATGCTTAGATAGAAGAGATACAGGCGGCACATTCGTCTGGAATGCACTCATGCGTTATTGGGGCACACATGTATGTAAATCCACACGGACGCTGCAAGTCACATGTTACAAGGATTCCGAGATCGCAAAACATGATCCGTCCAATTGATTAGTGCGCAAATGTGAACGCTAACGAATGGCTGACTGTGGCTAGACCCCGGGGGTAACACACATCTGCAACACCTGTACACCGTCTGAACGTCATCCAGACATCAGAAAGGGCGGATGGCTGACATCTGAACAGCTGCTAACTAATCTCTTACATCTGGACATGTGGGAGCACGTGTTTATGTTTGTGGATAACAGTGCGTAGCTGCAGATGGGGGCGGGTCGCTAATAACTCCATAGTCGAGAAAAAATCGCGAACGACAGGATTGACGGAATCGCCTGGACATCTGGACAGGTGAAACCAGTTCCCGATAGCATTACAGACAAGAGTGGGTGGCAGATATATAAACGATGGGAGCGGGACGGCTGACATTCCATCGAGTGTGGACCAATGAGATGAAAACGAACGGGAGACGGCGGACATCTGAACGTACGGGGTTGGGCGGACATCTGGACGGGCAGGGGCGGGGCGGACACCTGGACGGGCGGGGGCGGGGCGGACATCTGAACGTGCGGGGGCGGGGCGGACATCTGAACTGGCGGGGGCGGGGCGCGGGGCGGACACCTGGACGGGTGGGGACGCGGGCGGGGGCGGGGCGGACACCTGGACTGGCAGGGGCGGGGCGGACATCTGAACTGGCGGGGCGGGGCGGACACCTGGACCGGTGGGGATGGGGGCGGGGGCGGGGCGGCCGTCAGCACATCGGAGGACAACCGGCCGATCGAGGTCACCACCAGCAGCTGTCTGGCGACGAGGCTTGGCTGCCAGCGCGAGAGCGCCGCCACCCACCAAACACGCAGGAAAGACGTCTGGGAAGCATTTCCCCTGTACTGATATCAGTGTACAAATAATCTGTACTGTATCTGTACGGACTGTACCGTACTGTATCTGTACTGTATCTGTGCAGTTATCTGTACAGACTGTACAGATAACCATTACTGATATCAGTGAAGGAAATCCAGCGGAACGGGCCTGCTGTTGTTCTAGGATATCTGTGTGCAGTGTTTATTATCAACAGTGGGACATCCGATAAGGCAGTTTGATTTTCGCAGCCGACATTCGAACGAACAACGATTCCGAAGCTCTACACCGCTTCTTTTAGCTCGCCGGCTAAACTTTGCTGCCGTTTGAAGTCGCTGATATGTTATTCTGAATAGCACTGCTCTTTTTTGTGTCACTCACGGTGTATCATCTTTGACAGCTTTGTCGATGAAGCCCTTCGCGGTGTATGAATAGCTTTGTTTGATAGTGATGGGGGGGGGGGGGGGGCGTCTAGCCAGGCGTGAGGCATCGACCATCGCTTATAAACGGAGCAGCCGTCCTGCTGATCCAGTGGCATCGCCTCTGAATAGGCGGATGTAAACTTTACCTCGCCCGCATCGTCCTGGTCGTTTGGCCCGATCCATTTAAACTTAGCTCAGGGCCGCCCGGTCGTCCGCGGCCGCCACACCTCTATTTCTTTTGACACGCTGTGGGACACTGCAAGCCAGCACCGCTGCAAGTCAGGAGCGAAGCGGACGCTGGTTTGAAGGTCATTAGCCTTACCCATTAGCATCAATATTAGCCAGGGATATAACTGCGCCCCCACCCCCCACCCCCCGGCAATGCCTCTGTAAATGACGCTCATGTTGCTGAACTCCTCTCTCCACCACCTCACTCTCTCTGGCTCCTCGGCGTGCCATGTCGGTTTACTTCATTGACCATCGATAGGTCTCTGTGTGCCAGTGCATTCACGCCGCTCAGTGGTGACTCATATCCTTCCTCCTTCCTCCTGCCCAGAACAACCCCGCCCCCTTCTAAGCCCCGTCCCGCCCCCACCCCGACCGCCTCCCCTCCCCACCCAGAGGCCGCCACGTGCATGCACCGTGCACCCGACGGTCTGCGGTCCCCGCCAGGGTGCAGCGGAAGCGGCGGCGATTGTAGCTTCCGTGGCGTCCCTGTCGGCGCCAGTGCCAGTGACAGTGGCAGTGACGGCCGGCCAGCCAGCCGTGGGCGCAGCGCACTCACCGCGTATCACGCCCGATAACGCCCCGCCCCGCGCCGAGGAGCACCCCCGAGAGACCGGCGAGGCACGCGGCAAGGCGCGTGTCGGTGTCCCCGGAAGGCGTCCCGCGGGTGGTGTCGGTGTCCGCCGAGCGGTGTCGGTGATACGGCGTGCGGCGGTGACGAGGTGCGGTGTCGGTGGCGGACGGAGCGACGCGGACGGAGCCGCGGTGACGACGGAGCGGCTGGAAGCGAGGCAGCGACTGCGGCTGGTCGACACTCAGGTCTCGCCACCAGCCGCCTGAGTCGAACGCCACGGTCCGAGTCAAGCAGATTGGCCTCATCGCGGCCTAGCGCGCGCCGCTCCTGCAATCAGCTCCGATGGCCGACTACGAGTTTCTGGAGCCGCGCGGCCTTGACCTCGCGAGTGGGCGGCCGCCGCTGGCGCCGACCAAGCCCCCGCGGCTGCACAGCGTCGGTGACCTGGTGGATCCCCCGCGCATCGCCATCACCGCCCCCTTCGACACCCAGAGGGAAGGACGGGATCTGCGCGAGACCCCGCGCCAGCCCGACACCGTCGACCGGCTCAAGCTGGCCGGCTCGTTCGACTCGCTCGACTCGGAGACCATGGTCTCCGTGGGGGAGATGGCCGACTTAGGTAGGCGCTGTGATCTTAGAGCAGAGGAGATGGTGGTCCTGGAGAGGGACTCAAGTGACTTATGGACTATGAAAGCCTTGGGCGTGCGATGTTCGGGGTGAGCCACCGGCTCAGTAAACAAGCTCATGGGATTATCGCAGGCTAAGATGGAGTCAGGGAAGTTTACGGAAAGACCAAAAGGGCGAGCCTCTCTGTAATCCTTCGTCATGTTGGTATGCCTTGAAGTCCTCATGACGTGAACGGAATGTACCGATGCAACTGAGGTCTGTTGCAGGAAGTAATCCCTAGGGAATAATGGCCTAGGACTTGGGTGTCACTTCTCGTAGCCCTGTTCAAAGCGCACAGTACGGTTAAGCTACATAGGTGATCATATTGCGCGGTCCTAGCATTGCCACAGTGACAGTTGGAGGACTGTGATAAAATGATTGTTTTCGCTTTTGCCCAAACAAACGTGCGAGTGCTGTTCAGGCTCGTTCTCCATCAAAGACTGTTACGTAAAACATATCCACATCCACTTCGCCCATATTTACTGCCCATATCCACTTCGCCAACGAATATGAGCCTACTTATGCCCTTGGTCGTTCGCGGCGGTGGAAACACTGCCCCCACATTGCAGAGCCACTGGGTTCCGGTCATATACTGAAACTATCTCGACATGTTTCCGGGAAACCCAGCACAGTGCAGGATCTGTAAATAAAGACGGTGAGCGTAAGCAGCGTAATGTTCTAAAGAAAGTACCAATCCTAAATCCCCCAAAAATGTCTACAGCGATAATAAAATGGTGAATGAAAGCGGCTGCCGGTACTTCCCATGTCCCTATTTCCTGGGCCTGATGTTAGTGTCATTATGGCGTCTAGATGATATTGTTTAATTATTATAAAATTTCCTGCGTGCGTTAGTTCGACTGCGTGTAGGAAAATGGATATGCACAATTCTAAGTCAGCACGGTGCCAGAAGTGCAGGACGTTATGTTGATGACACAGGCCTGCAGTGCTAGCTGCTCCGTGAAGGCAATGATATTGTCTAAGCTGCCGAGAGGTAAATTCTCCGGTATTAACTTGTCATCATCTGCAGCGGGACAATTTTCTCCTTAATCGCAGACGAGTAATGTTGGCATACCCGTTCCGTGTGTGCTATCAGACCCACGATTGCATCAGCCCGTTCATATGATCAAGACAGCATCTGAACTCGGCCGCCCCGCCGCAGATCATTGGGATAATGCCTGTTCCCTACTGTGTTATTGCGATCCCGATAGGGGTTTTCGGCGTGGTCGGGGTAATTCGGGGTTATTGATCAAGGCTACGGGGCCATTGCTTGACTGATGTGATCTGATGGTATTGCCTTGCATAAAGATTTTGTGGTGTGAGTAATTTAAGCATTTAAGTGCCTAGGCTATCTCTTTTAGCTCGCACTTTTATTTCTGGCCATTTGAGAATTGCAGCTGGCATGATCAATTCACTCAGAACACCCTGGGGCATTGTGCATATTCTGCAAAAAAACATGGCTCAGGGTGATATCATGCAACCAAACTACCACGCCATCTCTGAAAATTTGCAGGCACTTCTTTCCAGAAGTGATGTTTTTTCAGCGTTGCTTGGCAACAAATGGTGACTTTGGCCATGATATCACAATGCGACCCACAATGATGCGGGTTATTTTTGATGAGTGGATGACATTGTTAATGTAAAATGAAGTTGAGGACCCCCGATGGTTTTGTGCGCCAATTCGAGTCTAAACACGTTTCTATTCACTCAGATAGCTCCATGTATTACACTTCAACATTTTGCTCCTGGGCTTTAAGGTAAACTTGACCCAGCCAGGTCGGGTTTGAGTTTGTTGGGCGCAAAGCTATCTACTGGTCTTAGTTGTATGACTTCAGTTCAGTTTGCACCATTGCATATTGCCACCCTCGCCAATGACGTAAGTGAAAAAGCTTGCACTTAATAAGGAACGAAAGTGGGAGTGCGCCTTTGCAGACCATCACGAATATCAGTAGGTATGTATTTCAGTAGTTTCCACTGTTTCTACAGTGTAACAGTGTTTCTACAGTGTAAAGTACACCTTCTTCACCCAACATTAAATGTTTTATTTTTTATCAAATCAAAGTTATAAAAAACGGTCAAAGGCTTAAACAACGCAACCAGATTTTAAGCATGGCAGTCACCATCCGTATGTTGCTGTTTGCCAGCAACGGATAGCGGCAAAACAGAATCACAAAGCAAGATGTTTAAAAGACCCGAATAACTCGACGTGATGAATGGTGGCTGAGCTTGTACGCCGTTCACGGCATGAAATCGATGTCTTACGTCGAAAGGTCGGTCTCCATGTATTCTGCTGGGTAGTAATAAAACTTTTAAATCCAAATCGGCATCGCAGCCCCTCATCAACCGTAGATTACTTACGAAAAAATGTGGGCACGAAGTCTACTGAGCAAGCATTGTTGCCACGTATAGATAGCCCCAGTAGAATAAAAAAAAATATGAAAGCCTCAGTGAACGATGCTGATTAACATATTTCATAGTGTTGAATAAGGGGTCGTGTGGAAGAATGCATTGAAACTAGTTGGTAACAATAAAATGCCTTCTTCGAAACTGCTTTGAGAAAACGGGAGTTGCGCTACGAACGGTACACACCCTATCTTGAAACGCACGAGCTCCGTGAGGTTTTAGCTGTGAAGTGTTGCACTTCCTTAGTGTCGCATATTTTGACGGATTTGTGTTTAACATGCAAAGAACTGGTGTTCAGGCTTCACGTGGAACTGGTGTTTAGAAGAAAAATACCAGTCACACGAGAACTGACGCCTAGAGTGATACATGCCTAAGGTACCACTAGCACATAGAGGACTGGATTGCGGGATCACTCCTATATCACGTATTTGGCGCGGGGTCACTCGACAATGAGGTCGTGACTCCAGGGACGGATCAAATAACGTGTCGCACCACTTGGACAGTATTTCCTAGGACCCTGTGCAGCTTGCCATACAGAGGAAGCTGGTAAACCAGAGCAAATGAGCCTTTGAACAAATAGAGGAGATATTGTAATCTCGTCGTGACTCAGTGTCATGTGCGCATATACAACGTGGATAAGACCACATCTGTCGGCCTTCCCGCCATCATTCACCATTCTCTATGAGCGCTCCCTTATGGGTGTATAGTTGATATTTGTAAATACCGAAGAGGTCGCAGAAAAATTTGTTTCCGCGGTATCCAGCTGCACTCATCATTGAAAGACGCCAAGTTTTTGCTACGTGATCGCCGCCAGCCTCATGATGAGTTTTGGCCGCCGTGTAAAGAGGCGAAATAAATATCCGGACTTGCCTAATGTGGTTAAAAGGCCTCACGAAAGGAAACATGGTGGTGTTGATGGTGGTATGCGGGCCAGTCGTTGGCTTTCATGGGCAGGGCAATAATACAAGATGTGCAAATTTCCAAGGTGTCTCTGGGCACCATCGATATCTCACCTCATGTATCACGTCACAGATATATGTCTGATGACCCTTGACCTGCCTCGTCGTCTCAAATTCGTCCACACCGGTCGCCTTTCAAGCGATTAAGAGGAATGAGAGGCACTCCTCTTACAGTCATATCTTGCCGATGGAGATCCCACGAGTCTGCCTCAGACCGCCTGGTGTCCAAAATCCTCCAGCGTCCGGCTCTCGCCCCCACCTGAGCACCAGTGTTCTCCGCCCGGCGGTCGGTGCCTCTGATGCTGACGTTGACGTTCTTGCAGACGCGCTGCTGGCGGATCTTCAGAGCACTATCGGCCCGACGGAGGCCGCAGGCGGCGGCAGCCGCCACTCCTCGCCGTCCCGCGCCAGGGAGGTCCCGTCACCACTGCCCGCTGTGAGTACCAGATCCGGCGGGACTCCTCCGTCCCGTGTCAGGGAGGTCCCGTCACCACTACCTGCTTTGAGTACCAGATCCGGCGGGACTCCTCCGTCTCGCGCCAGGGAGGTCCCGTCACCATTGCCCGCTGTGAGTACCAGGTCCGGCGGGACTCCCCCGTCTCGCGCCAGGGAGGTCCTGTCACCACTGCCTGCTGTGAGTACCAGATCTGGCGGGACTCCTCCGTCTCGCGCCAGGGAGGTCCCGTCACCGCTGCCCGCTGTGAGTACCAGGTCCGGCGGGACTCCTCCGTCTCGCGCCAGGGAGGTCCCGTCACCACTGCCCGCTGTGAGCACCAGGTCTGGCGGGACTCCTCCGTCTCGCGCCAGGGAGGTCCCGTCACCGTTAGCTGCTGTAAATACCAGGTCCGGCGGGACTCCTCCGTCTCGCGCCAGGGAGGTCCTGTCACCGTTACTTACTGTGAGCACCATGTCCGGCGGGACTCATCCGTCCCGCGCCAGGGCGGTCCTGTCACCACTGCCCGCTGTAAGTATCAGGTCCAATAGCAAGGTTCTCCAAATAAGGTCCTCCGTCCACCGCCAGCTCATTTTTTGCTCCTTTTCACCACAAGTATTGTTCTCAATCAGTGTTCTCCCCAAGTGAACGTCACCCAGATTTTCTCCAAGGTTCAGAAACGGGCTGTTTTTATCTGGGGATTGGTATGACACCCTCACCCCCAGTCGCCCCACACCCCCACCCACCCACCCCATAGATCAGCCCTCGTTCCGGTGAAAAGTGACGTTTGGGCCAGTGGCTCAGTTTCAGTGGGCGGTTTCCAGCGAATGCACGTTTATCTCAGCGAGCGACATTCACGCTCTATAAATTGATATAGCTAGATAGCTCTATAAATTGTGACGTTATGACGAGTTCCAGGGTCACACTATGGCGGGCGATGTCTGTGCTTAAGTACATTTGCGGTGGTCCTCGTTTTTAACCTTGCTATCGGAGAGTGGAGTGCCCCGAATACCAGACATTGTGTATGCACTTTGATAAGCACATGAAAGGTCTCATGATCTGCTGATGACCAACTTGCAGAGCTGGGGCTGATACTGCGTAGTGTCATCTGACTGGGATGGCATGCAGGGGACCATCCCGATAAAACATGGGACGGCTGCATCGTGACACTTCCACCCTCCCCTCACCCTCCGCTCGAGCAGGCGTCGAATCGACCCTGTTTACCATACGCACCAGCGCCGTCAGCGCTGCATTACCGCAGTGCTTTCTACACCCGCGATGATGTGTTACCAAAGTGCTGCATCACCGCCGTGCCGTATCACTGTTGCTGCATCGCTGTGGTGTCGACTCACCATGGTGCCGATGGAAGGCCGGCCGCACCATCGGAAAACTCACGTGGTGACTCAGAGAATGTCCGCTCCGATAGCGGTACACCGAACTGGGCATGAGGCCACCCCACGTTCGTCATTCGTCTGGCTGACTCAGCCGAAGAAAAATGGCTGCTGTCGACCGAATGCTGGGAGCACTCGCCACTCTGTGAGCCTGTTTTCGCCATCGAGCGGGTTCGGATTTATTTCATCTCGAGTGTTTGTGGTTGTCCGTTGGGTCAAAATCAAATGGAACCAAAGCAGAACGCCCGCCATTCTCTTACTATCGCACATCTTGAGCTGTGTGCCTTCCAACAGCATTCTTGAATTTCAGTCGAAGAAGACATCGAATGACGGGATCGTTCAGTTACTCGTAGAAAATGCGTTATAACTGCGAGACGGCCTGCTTTTCAGCCGAATGAATCAGACGTCAATATTGGCCAGTGAGAAAATGGTCGCAAAAATGGCTAGTCAGCAGCCGCTCTTACTCAGGCGACAATGATCGTCAAGCCCGCATGGGCTATCAGGATCTCATCGTGACGGGGTTGAGAGGGGGAGGGGGGGGGTATCGGGAGAGGGTCAAGTGCGTCAGAGGGTCAAGTGCGTCGTGGGCGGAGGCCAGACGGCGGGGCGCCAGGTGTCCGTTCCGTGACTCTGTCCTCGCGTCAGGCTGTCGCCGAGCTGCTCCTAACCCCTTCCAACTCCGAACTTCTTCGACATGCGATTGTAATTGAAATTGATGCGTAATTGCATTGCTATACATCGGGTGGAGGTGGATGCTTGACCTATCTTGGAGTGGAGGCGAGAGATTCTTCTGTATTGTGGGCTCATTAGTTTTTGCAATGATGCACCATAAAATGAGGCCCGATATGTAAGGGCTGCTGTGCCAGTTCGGTGACATGGCGAACGGTTTTGATTATGACATGATGCACAGTTGCCCCGACGCGAAACAAACAGCAATTTGGAGCGCTGTTATGTAATTTCACAACCTGATGTGGTCTGAACCCACCCTGCGTGCATTCCGTCTTGATTGCTTTTACACCCATCTTTGTTTGCACTCGCCAACTGACTCCGGCGGGAAGACCCGGGCCTGTGGGTCCTTGACCTTGCTCGGATGGCATGCAGGGAACATCCCGATAAAACATGGGACGGCTGCATCGTGACATTTTACCTGCTGCATAATTGTATCTAATGGAGTGTGGTCACCCACAACACCCACAACACGACTCTCTCGTCTCGTCACCGGCTCACACACACCCGTAACTCACGACCTGCATTACTGTACCGAAATAACACATACACAACGACATTCGTATGTGTCACAATTCCTGGCGGATGCACGCTTCCCGTCGCTCCGTTATGCACCCACACGTCCACGACGCTCCCCCTCCCTTCCCTGGCCTGAGCGCGCGGGCACGCCCACCTGCGTCGGCCTCGCTCCCATTGTTCGCGCGGGGGCAGCGGCGCGTCGCCGCGGGCGCCGCGGTCGGGCGGCCGTGCTGGCACGCGCGTCTCACCTTATATAGGTGGCGTTGGCGGGCGGCGGGCGGGGCGGTGCGGGGG